TCAAACTGTTCATGCTTTTTCGTACGAGTATATTGATTAAATCAGAGCGTGCATGAATGTGTACAGAAAATTAAATGACCTGCAAACTGGACACTGGACCAGTCCATACTACGTTTTATCAATGAATAGATTTTTTTTTTATTTCCCAAATTACAGAGCCCATAAAGGGCATAAAATCAGATACAATTGATTTATATAATTGGTAACAACAACAATAATAGCGGCATATAAATAGATATTTAGTATATAAGCATTGGTCAGAATCAGATGACTGAAACTTAAGGTATGAAAGGTAACAATTGCCACTTTTTATCTTTTCACATAATTTTCCACATACACATTAGATAAATTATTTTTGATAGCCTATTGCGGAGAAAAAAGAGAAAGTTTACTGTATTAACGTTCTATTCCATTAAATACGCCATTTTTCGAAGATAAATGCAGAAAAACATTTATGAACGGCTACGCCAGGTAAAATTGTTTATCCTAAAAAAAAATACAATTTTCAGTTTCATTAGAATATTATAATAATAATAAATCCCAAATTTATGTAGTCATTAGATAAAGTCCTTATATGTCCGATCTGCCTATTTTTGGACATCAAAAGACAATACGATCGTTTTAAGGTCAATTTCGTCTACCTCACGCAATCTTGTTAGGCACTATAATGAAATGGACCTGAAATTTATTTCACATGTTTCCTGAAAATTGATAAATATCAAAGCAACATAGAGCTGTTTGTTCTAGTTCGTATAATGACAATTTAATGTCATGTTTGTTTGTGATGACCCCCCTTTTCGGGATTGCATCAGAATTATAGTTATCTCGTATCGCATGAGGATGACACATGTCAACTGAGCAATTATGTTTGGGACTTAGTTTTAAGGAATGATGTCAAAGTAACATTATGAAAATATTTTTAGTAAGCTGAAATATATATTTATTTTTTACATGTTTATGTCTTGTAAGATATTTTATTTCTGTCCCGTTTTTCAACATTTGCTTCTGGAAAGTTGAAATGTTTTAACTGAATGGTTAATTTAAATTAATTATGAAAATGGTTAAAATTAAATCAATAAAGGAAATTATTGCCCAGTTACAAACACTACCAGGGGATAATCCATAATGATTTTTTTTTCAGTTATATGTTTCAGCACATGTATAATTAACCCCAACTTTAGCCTGGTAAACTTGTTGTCTCCTTGTAAAATATAAAACATATTTAAAATGATTTCCTGCTAAAGTCTTATATTGATATAAAGTTAAAACCGTCTTGCTTCTCACTAGTCAACACTCCTGCCCTGTCAGGTTTAATTCTTATATATGGATGAAAAATAAAAGTCCACAAAACATTAACTTGGCAGCAATTGCTTTTACAGCCTTTAAGACTTTGATTTTTTTTTACAGAAGAGTGTCCACCATGCACTTGCATTACACTATAATAATAGTAGAATAGTATGATATACATATACATATAGATGAAAATTATATATACATGCAACCGTAATATTAATATAATATATAACAACAAACCAGTGTATTCTCTGGAACTATTATTATATTAGTATAATAGTCTAAGGTATACTGATTTGTATCACTACAATATAATAGTTATTACGGTGAGGTTGAATTTCCTGTCATTTATTCATCATCCAAGCACGAACTTGTATAAGAAAAACAAATCTCTGTAAATTAACCTCAGTTTCAGGTATAGAGATGTGATCTGTTTCTGTGACATGTGCTTTTGACCATCCACAAGAACCTGCGGTCATCCGATGTTCAGTACTTCAGTACTTTGATTAGTTATTGTCCTTGGACAGAACAGATCAAATATGTGCAATGTGGGGGACTTTGGAACTCTGTTCTTTTATATTATTACATTGGTTTCAATTAATTACTTGTATTTCCCAGTGAAATAAAAACCAATAATTTCACTAGTGAGAGTTTTAGCTAGCTATTAAACCAGGTTTAATCCACCATTTTCTACATAAGGAAGTATGTGTACCAAGTCAGGAATATGAAAGTTGTTATCCATTCTTTGATGTTTCGAGCTTTTGATTTTGCCATTTGATTAGGGACTTTCAGTTTTGAATTTTCCGTGGAGTTCGGTATTTTTGTTATTTGACTTTTTCACATGTGAAATAAATCTGATAATTTCACTAGTCTGACGTCCTAGAACAATGGGTGGTGTCAAGATGTTGTCGATCTATACAATTGAGAATGCGTAGAAAAAGATGAAGCTCCTTTTTTTTTTACATTATTTCCATTAAAAAGTCCATGGTCAATGTACTAAAAAGAATACCTAATCCAAGAATTCAGATATTGAATATATTCATCTCGTGACTGAACAACACTGATAATTAACTCATGGACTTCATGCATTCGTGAATTAATGTGTTGTTCTGTAACTTGTTGAATATTTTTCTATATTTAAATTATTGGATTAGTTATTATATAATTATTAATATTTTTTTTGCCAGATAATGTTTTGTTTTAGAAAAACTTTTGCTTAGATAAGATGAAACAAGTATAAAAAAGAAGCTTACATTTCAATCATCTTATTAATGATAACTGTAACAATGTCACAGAAGATAAAACATGAGTAGTACAATCCATACAGTAAAAAGAAGTGTTACATAGGAAGGACGACACTTTGTATGTGATACACTAATATACCTTATCGTCAATTGCAGTGCTGATGAAATACAAGCAATTTGTGATTGGACATTGAAATTTGTTGAATGCAATTAAGATTCAACACTTTATAGATTTAAAAGCAGTACTTCATATAGTTTTGACTATACAATCTCCTGGTCGCATACATAATAAATACATTTGAATTTTTAAAGAAACTGGATCTGCTTACCCTTCCAGTGCACATGAGTTTACCTTTGGTTTTGTTTCTAAGGGGTTTCTTTTGCCTTCAATGTCTGTGTTGTTTATTTTGGTAACAGCTTCTTCTATCCTTTATCATGGAAAAATGTGTTTCGATTTCAATCACATTTGGTCAAGTTTTAGAGGTAGAGAATTTACATGATCAATAGTTTATGAATTTGTTCTTAGTGTAAGATAAGAGCTTGAGTCAATACACAATGTGTGATGCCTAATTAAGGGATATGACTCATCAACATATTTTGAAAGGAGTTACACAACATGTGTCGCTAGTGGAGCAGGAACTTCTGACCTTTCCAGAGCACCATAGTTAACCCCAGTTTTTGGTTGGGTTCTATATAAAAATAAGGAGATGAGGTATGATTGCCAATGACATGCTCGACATGAAAAATATGAAACAATTCAATATAGAAAACTAACGGCCTAATTTATAACAGAACAATTAAAGAAAAACAAATATGACAGACATGAACCAACGACAACCACTGAACTACAGGCACCTGACTTTGGACAGGCACATAAAGAATGTGGCGGGGTTAAACATGTTTGTGAGCGCTCAACCCTCCCCTAACCTGGGACAGGGTGACAGCACAACATAAGAACAAACTATAAAAATCAGTTGAAAAGGGCTTAACTCATCAGATCAATACAAAGCAGAAAAACATCAAACATAAACACAGACCGGATGCGGCAGGGTATTTATCCATCCCTCATCCCTAACAACAAAAAGGATACTAAGTACAGATCTGAGAGTACTTGCAGTTACTGACAGCTAGTTCAAAGCCAATGACAACTAATAAAAAAAATTATGTATATAAGATTAAAATATCACTCAGTACACATCCAACATCCAATGGATTTAGTGTAAAGACGTTATTAACAGTGAGAGAACATGACCTTGTGCTATGCCAAAATGCCAAACGATCGACAGATTGTGTCATTAAGTACCGTTAAAGTGCATATGTGTATAACAAAACTATTAGTATGATTTTAATTTACTGATAACAAAATCAATATTAATACCAATAAAAACAATATTCAAAGATCTAATTACAGTGTTGAATTGGTCTAGTTTGCTGTGTAGTGTTTTGTTATTGTTGTTTGTCCTGCCCTCGTTTTAACTTTTGGCAATAATATTGTCGGTTTCTATCGGAACAGATTTTATTTATTGTCCCCTTGGTATCTTCCTTCTCTTTTCAATGGAAATATACATATTGATTTTTATATTGCTAATTCCCTAGGGTTAATTGCATACTAAATCAGCATGCATGGGTATTCATCTAATTTTCAGGTTTTCAGTTTAAATTGTTTTCATTAATGATTACAGACAAAATAAATAGCATAATTAAGCTGCATTGGACTCATTCATGGTTGGTGTGTACAATAAATCAGCAAAACACAAGAGACAATTCATACTGTTCAATACACAAATAATGCCCATCAAAAGTAAAATGATTTGGTAAATGTTTGTAAATTTCTTTTTAAAGAATGTCAACAGTTGATCTTTTCCCATATTTGAAATTGATGAAGGAAGGGTGAATTCATACCACATGACAGGAAAAGTTTACATCAGCACCTGACCTGTATCACCTCCTGTGGAAGGTTGAATTGGTTGAAACACAGGGTGTTCAGAGCATCAATAACTTTACAGGCATTACAGAATTTCTGGTGCTTCTGTAATTTTTGGTTTTGAATAAATGATGGCACTTGACAGTGATCTTATTTTCCTTAATAGCTGAGTTGTAGATATTGATTTATCTTTATATATACCTTCTTTTTTAAAAGCACTTAAAGCCAATATGGGCCAATATCTAATCACAAGCATGAACAAACAAATGGAAAAAATACATATATATCATATAAATACTCAAACATTTTAATGTTAATGACAGTTTTGGTAGTTCAGTTAAATTTTTTCCAAACTTTTCTACATTGAGCTTTACATCATCTAATTTTGAATACCCTATGTTGACATCTAACCAGTGCTTTAATGTTGATGGGCTTAAAATGATCTGTTTATGTAAATGTCAACCAACTACCTAGACAAGTCACCACCGTTTAACTTTGTTTATAAACTCATAAACTCTATGCATGTTATTTATATTTAGTGACACTTCAGAAGAAGTTATTCATTCAAATGATGCATTTGCTCCTGTCAGTTATCTTAATCTTCAATCTGTGCATGTTGAAGATAAACATTTGGTAAGTACATATTTACATTCTTCTCTTTATATTTATGATTAATCTCTAAAAGTAAATGTGTAAAGGCTTACTATTAATTAAAAGAGATGTGTTTATATACTTCAGCATAGTTACTTACCATCCTCTGACAATACAAAATCATGCCATGACATGCAAAAATGCATGTAAAAACGTGTTCACCACTTTGTAGCTCTGAAAATCGTACGTACTGTCAAGTTCAACTGTTCTTTTATTCCACAGTTGCCTTCCAGGCAAATTTAGAGCAGCAGAGCTTGATGCATTTTCATGACAAATACAGTTTTGGTTAAATTTTAGGCTAATTTGGAGGAAGTCCAAATTTGGCTTCTAGTATGGTGATGTCGGGTGGGGGGGGGCGGGGGTGGGGGGGGGGGGGGTGTTGAAGTTGTGCACCTGCTATTATGAAATTGTTTGAGGAATTTTGTCTCATTTTTCCAGACTTGGAAAATTTATGAAAGAGGGTACCTAATTTTTGTAATCTACTCCTCCTACAGTTTCCAACCCAGATCCCTGACAATTCAAAGGAAGATTGCACATATGGACACTGGGCATTTTCCTGCAATGACAAATGTTAAACTTTGAAGCAGAAACCATTCCCCACCTTGATATAATTAATGATTGGTGGAAAAATCCACAGGATTTGGAAACCAAATTAAAAAAACTAACAACAGATAATCGGTTTCATTAATTTAACACACGTTAATGCCTGTGATTGCATGTAAAGACATGGAGTGAGTGTACAAACTGTGTGATGAAAATAGCACATATAAACACTTGAAAATGTGTATGTGAGTTGGCAACTATGCTTCAGTGAGGCAGCAATTCAAAAATGAAATAAAAGTAGATGGCATAAAGATATGGTCTTCATCAAAAGACAAGTGTGTCTTTTTAATGTAAAGCTCTAAATCACCCTAAAGACTTGAAAAGCTGTCAGTACATTTAACAAAATCACCAAATATTTGCAGCACCAAATATTTTAATGATAAAAAAACCTCTTTACCTGTCCTGTCAATTGTCTTCTGTTTGAAAACATCAAAACCTTGAAATTTGTGAGCATGATTTAATAAAAATATTGAAATGCAATTTGAAAAAAATGCATGCAAATGTAGTGACCTACTAATATTGACACACATTTAGCTCATTTTATCCACTGAAATTAAAGATCATCTTTCTAAAGAATTGCAGTAAATGTTGCTATGTCAAATTGTTTTGTACACCACCATAATGCATTGCATTGACAATATTTAGATGCATCAGTCAATGTATTTTAAGAAAGATCATGCTTCCTTTAGATAGTTTTTTTTTAATTTTAATTTTGCCTGCCACAAATAGGAATGTTAATCAGACAGTGGAGTAAACTATTTGTTTATAGCTTTATATTTCAGAAGACACAAGACCTTTTTATGTTATACCTTGTACTGTAAATTCAGAAATTATTGCGAAGTTTTTATTAATGTGAATAATGCGACTGGGTGAGTATCGCAATAATAAAAACTTGCATTCTGATATCTGATACAGTTATCTGTATGCAGATTTCCTAAAATTGCAATAATAAATATAGCATTTTGGTCCATTCTTCAAAATTGGCAATAATAAATGCATGCACTAATTTCTGAATTTACAGTATTCAGTGCCTTATGTTCTAATCTTTCTTGTCATATTTCCATAGTCATTGACCTCATTTCAGTGGTTCAGAGACTGCCTGAAAACTGTTTAGTTTTTTGTCACATGAATTTCTCACTTATAATTGATTAATAGGTTATGTATATTGGATCCTTGCAAGGTCTGCATGTCCATAATACAGAGTTCTTGTGACCTTGATCTCATTTCATGGATCAGTGATCAAGGTTAAGTATTCATGATCAATTCCATATCACATATACTACTGACATAATTTATAAAAATCCTTTCTTAAATTTAAAATTTAAAAGAAACTAAGGTTTCAACTCCCTCAGACAAAGTTGACCTTGGATGTAAGTAGCTATTTTTTTTAGATTCTTTTTGGTCATATAGCTCTTCAACTGTTAAGATTCTCATAAATCCATGGCTTTCAAGTATTCGGCTTTGAGCCTTCCTGATGAAGGTAAATCCTGAAAAGCGCTTCGGACACATGAAATGTATAACGTGTTGTTATCATTTTTTACAGCACTGGGTCGATACCTCTGCTGGTGGACTATCAGTCTCCGAGGGTATCATTAGCTCAGTAGTCAGTACTATGGTACTGACATGATTTATAACAATCCTTTCTAAAATTGTCCGTTTATAAATTTTGGAATTAAAAAGAGACTAAGGTTTCAACTCCCTCAGGCAAAGTTGACCTTGGATGGATTTGTTTTTTTTTTAAAGGTTCTTTTTGGTCATATAGCTCTTCAACTGTTTCTGTTCATATACATTCTTGGCTTTCAAGTATTCTGCTTTGAGTGCTCCTGATGAAGGTAAATCCAGAAAAGCACTTCCGTCGCATGAAATTTATAATGTGTTGTTTTCATTATTTACTACAAGCATAGGTCAAATTTGTTTAGGGTATTGAATAATTGTTAGGGGTACACCATATATACACCTCATATCTATGATGAGTTTATTGTTAAATTTCTTGCATTAATAAGGAAATGTGGTATGATTGCCAATTTTTGAAAAGAAAACCAACAGCCTGATTTATGCTAAAAACAACAATCGAACAACAAATAAGGCAGACAGCAACCAACAACAACAACCACTGAATTACAGGCTCCTTACATGAAAAAGGCATATAAAGAATGTGATTGGGTTAAACATGATTGTGACTGTTCAACCCTCTCCTAACCTAGGACAGTGGTATAACAGAACAAAGTAAGGACAAACTATAAAACTTTTTGGAAAAGGCTTGACTCATCAGATCTACAATATGTACATAAAAAACGATCTAAGAGTTCTCGCAGTTGCTTGAAGTTAGTTCAAAGCCAATTCAAAGTAATAAAAAAGTATAAACTAGAATACCAAACTCCAAGGTAATTAACCTTGTCTTCCAAGACCAAAATTTCAATCATTACACAACCATTTATTGTGAAGTTGTCATTTCAGCATGTGTACTCTTGTTGTAAAATAGGTAACCAATATTTAGAAAGGGAAAAGTGTACAGGACCTGCTTGAATGTTGTTACAGAGAAATGGATGGCTCAAGTTCTTTCCATTCTTCATGAGAAGCTTCAGTATGAAGTCTACCCCATAGGTATAAATGAACATGTCTGCAAAAATAGAAATACAGTTTGTTTCTAATAAAAATGCTAATTGTCTGTTGAAAAGTATGCCATCGAAATGTGACAATTTAGAAAATCAAGCATCTTGATAATGTCAGTTTCAGAAAACCTTTTGTCTGAATCAGAACATGTTTTAACCTCTGTTGCCAAAGGTGACAGCAAGTCTAGTTACCCCTGGACTCTCTGTGTCTGTCCGTTCATCTGATAGTCCTTGGGTATAAAACTTTTGTAGAAGTTTTCTTGGCTTCTTTGAAAGGGAATGATTTTATATTTGATCTGCAGCATCGTAATGTTAGTTGTATTGGGTAAGCAATTTTTACATTTTCTGTGCAGCAACTTCCTGTTTGATGTTAGTTTTAAATTTTACAACACTCATTGTACAAGGAAAACTTAGTCAAACTTTTTTTGACTTCTATATAAGGAATGAATTTAGTTTTGGTCTGCAGCCTTATAATGTTGAGCTGTAGTTGTAGTATCTGTTTGCAGATAGTTTAAAATTTTACAACACTCATTGAACAAGAAATATTGGTAGTCAAAGTTTTCCTGGCCTCAATAAAATGGATGATCAGTTATGCTTCAGATGTTACCTAAATCAATAGCATGCAGGGACACTGATCCAGACCCACTATTGGTCTTGTTACAATGTATGATTTGCCCCTTCCTTACAAGATTTGCATAACCCCTTTAAAGCGGGATGTATATAGTGATGGAGGAGTCCGTCTATCAGTCTGATTGCATGTCCCTTCATGTTCTTCAGTTTTGTACTTTATTTGGCCTTTTAAACTTTTTTGATTCGAGTGCACTGATGGGTCTTTGGTAGACGAAATGGGTGTCTGGCATACACAATTTTGATCCTGGTATCTATGATGTGTTTATTCATCATTTTTGGTTTGGGAAGCTAAACGAAATACTTTATATTAGATTGCAACCCTGATTGCATAAAGAGTAAAATATAATAAGAAAAAGATCTTTATTGATTTCAAGCTCACCAGGCAGTGATATTGTTTTTTTTTTATCAAAACTACCTCTACCCTTTTTTTTTTGGAAAAAATGCATCATTTTTTGTCGAGCCTGCGACTTTTGTCGCAGAAAGCTCGACATAGGGATAGCGATCCGGCGGCGGCGGCTACGGCGGCGGCGGCGGCGGCGGCGTTAGCTAACTTCTTAAAAGCTTTATATTTTAGAAGATGGAAGACCTGGATGCTTCATACTTTGTATATGGATGCCTCATGTTACGAAGTTTCCGTCAGTTACATGTCCAATGTCCTTGACCTCATTTTCATGGTTCAGTGACTACTTGAAAAAAAAGTTCAGATTTTTTGTAATGTTAAATTCTCTCTTATTATAAGTAATAGGATAACTATATTTGGTATGTGCGTACCTTGCAAGGTCCTCATGCCCGTCAGACAGTTTTCACTTGACCTCGACCTCATTTCATGGATCAGTGAACAAGGTTAAGTTTTCGTGGTCAAGTCCATATCTCAGATACTATAAGCAATAGGTCTAGTATATTCGGTGTATGGAAGGACTGTAAGGTGTACATGTCCAACTGGCAGGTGTCATCTGACCTTGACCTCATTTTCATGGTTCAGTGGTTATAGTTAAGTTTTTGAGTTTTGGTCTTTTTTTCTAATACTATATGCAATAGTTCAACTATATTTGGTGTATGGAAATATTTTATGATCTATATGTCAGTCACGCAGGTTTTATTTGACCTTGACGTCATTTTCAAGGTTCATTGCTCAGTGTTAAGTTTTTGTGTTTTCGTCTGTTTTTCTTAAAACTATAAGCAATAGGTCAACTATATTTGTTGTATGGAAGAATTGTTAGCTGTACATGCCTGCCTAGCATGGTTCATCTGACCTTGACCTCATTTTCATGGTTCATTGGTCAATGTTTAGTTTACTTGGTTAATGTTAAGTTTATGTGACAGTTGTAATAAAGCTTTATATTTAGGACTATCAACATAATATCAATGATTAGTAAAGAAGGCGAGACATTTCAGCGTGTGCACTCTTGTTTGGAAATTGGGAAGTTTTGAATAAGAATTAATTGTACTAAAACTTGAATTCGAAGACAAGACTGAAAGTATAATTGATAAGACAAGTCATAACAGTTCATTATTTTAATTTTCAAAGGTCCATTTTTCTGTCCTTTAATCCCTTGAACATATTCACAAGCTCATTCATGTTGTCGTCAGTTAAATGATGCTTGAATGAGCAAATTCTCATGGTTGCATCCAAGTTACGTTGTGTCATCCTATTCCTTTTTGGTAGGGATGTCAACTCGGTGAAGATTTACTAATCGAGTACTCGTTGGATTTACCGAGCAATACTCGAGTACTCGCTCAGTAAAACATTAACAAAATGGAAACACAAAACTATTTCAATAGTCGGTTAAAGAGCTCACCAGAGCTCATGTTTTGTCTGTTATTATGTATATATATGCCGACTTTAAATAAAATTTACTTACTTACTTACTTAATTACTTACCATTTTATATATTGTGGGTCGTTGTCTTATGAACGTAAAACCCTCAACATTATTACCTAGACTAGATAATAGTCCAAGGCATTTTATACCATAATTAATAGCTCATTTACTACATGTACTAATTATGTAAACTGGCAATAACCTAATCAAGTAATTAATTAATATCTATAGAAAATTGATTATTAGTACTCAAACAACAGTATTTGGGAACCGTAAAAACACATCTAATGATCAACAAAGGGGAGATGATTATAACTTACTGATGCCTTTAATCATTTTCTGAGGGTGCAACGAATATGTTCTTAGTTAAAAATATATTCTTGTCAACTTTTTCTGGGACGAGGCAATTTCTCAACTTTGTTAGATAACTAACAGTCCTGCTGATGAAAATATATGCTCTGACGATACAGGATGGGAGAATGACTAAGATTAATTAGCTAAAAGTGTAAGCCTAGGAAAAGTGCACTTTTTCATAGCCTACCTCTCGTTTGGAGGAATTTTAAATGACAGTTAAACGCAAACATTCGAATCGTATTTTGATTTTTAATTAATCTTTATTAAGTAAACATTTAATTTTTCGGGGAGGCCGGCGCTCCCAAAAACATATTTTTTTGTTGAAGCTTTAAAAAGCAACAACATTCTAACAGGAAACCGATTAGTCGAGTATCATTTTGGTATTCGATACTCGGTACTACCGAGCGATACTCGAGTACTCGAGTACTCGTTGACATCCCTACTTTTTGGAGTTAGAATGTTTGACATCAAGGAGAAGCTTCTCTCTACTACTGCAGTTGATGATGGTATACACATGCAGTAGAAGTACATCTTGTACACTAGAGGGAAGCATTCCTTCAAAACATCATCCCTCAGGAACTGGTTTTAGACTGAATTGTGAGACATTTTCAACAGGAAAGGATCTTTTTGGGGAGGGGAAAGAAACGGAAAAAAATGACAGTACTTAATACATTGAAAACCACGTGTGCTACAAACACCCCAATGATTCTAATCAGAAACCCGGATCTCAAAAAGCGCTTTCATAATATCAAAATAATAACATGAATACGAAATTTATGTACATTACTACCGAAGCCATCACCGTTTGGGAAAAATGTACAACTTATTGGGAGGAACTTTGTGCCATTTTTTTTAGTAATTGGAAATTTTCTCTAGGGGAAAAAGCCGAATTTCGGAGGTAATTTGAAGCAAACAATATCACTGCCAGGTCAATGGTCATGCTCAAAGTTACTATGAATAGATTGAAATTTGTAATGAAAAGTGGATTTCAGTTGCTAAATCAAATACATGTACTACATATGGGATTGCAACCTTATAGGGTATGTGGTCACATATAATGAGTTAAGGATCCCTAATGATTGTTAGGTGAATACTTCAAAGTTCAAAGTTACTAAAAAAGAATGAAATTTTGCAGAACAGCTGATCCCAGATTCTCAATTGAATACAACATTTGGGATCGCAATAACCTTACTTCAATATAATTCTGGTCACATATGATGAAAAGACAATCCCTATTGATTTTTAGATCACTGTTTAAAAACAAGGTCAAATTATCTAAAGCAGACTGCAATTTGTGCAGGAAAGTGGTCTCTGGATTCTAAATCAAATACAACATATGGGATTGCAACCTTACTTAGATTTATTGGTCACATATAATGAGGGGACAATCACTATAAATTATAACGTCACTATGTTCAAGGCCAAGCTAAAAATGAGTAAATATAGACTGCAATTTTTGCTGAGAATGGTTTCTGGATGCTGAATAAAAAACTACATTTAAGATTGCAGCATTACTTGGATATATGGTCATGTTAGTAAGAAAACAATACCGTATTGATTTTTCATGTCGCTATGTTTAAGGTTGAGGGCATAGTAATACTGAAATTTTGCGCAGAAAAGTTGTTCCAGGATGCTAAATGAAATACAACATATGCCATTGCAACCTTACTGATGAATAATCATAACAGAAAAAGAATCGTACCTTAAAAGTAAACAGGAAAAACTATGTCATCAGGTTATTATACAGTTTCCCCCTTCAATGGGAGGCTGGGGTATGTGGGATTCCTCACTCAAGGTTTTTTTTTGAATCTGAAATATTTAAATTATACAGTGAAAACTTTTCTTATCAGTGCGTGTCGAGTTTATATGTACAGTTAAGTAGGTATTGCCATTCCTATGTATTGTGGATTTATTATTATTATAAAGTGGAGTAAGAATATTTGTGGATTTCGTGAATATATAGGTAAACCAAGAATTTAAATGTTCATCGAAGTACATATTTTGTATAGGCTTGTAATTCAGTGGTTGTATTTCTTGCTGTTTATCATATTTGATTTTTGTTTGTTGTTTTGTACATTTATCAGGCTGATGGTTTTCTCGTCTGAATTGCTATACATTTTGTCATGGTTTGGCCTTTTATAGCTTGCTATGCTGTATGAGTTGTGCTACTTGTTTAAGGCTGTACCATGGCCTTTAGCTGCTAACATCTATGTTATTTGGTCTTTGGTGAATAGTTGTCACATTGGCAATCATTCACATCTCCTTATTTCATATGACTTTGCGAAAACCACTAAATCAAATATCCACAAAAATAGAATATCTCCTTGATCAACGAAAATAAATGAAATCACAGTACATGAAATAGGAGAGTCTATCAGATTCATGTCTGCTGCAAATTAAAACAGTGAGATATAATATCGCCTTGTTAAGGTTGTTTTGTTATTACTTTCAGGATATGAAAAAAAGTTTGGCATCAAGACTTGCCCATTATCCCTTGAAAAGAAGTTCTGATATTCATAAAGAAATCTTCAGTGAAAATGAACCTCTATTCCATGAAAGTGATATAAGTGAACATTACACTCCATATAAATGTCCAGAAGGCACAGGTAACTAATTTTCAAACCTAAATAATAATTGTCCTGTTCAAAAGAACAGTGTAATATGCGGGAGCTGCCTCATGTAAAACAGGCATAGAAAGTTTGTGATGACATCATTATGGTAACTGTGTGTGTGTGAAACAGAAAAAAAAGAAAGGTAATGATTTTGGATTGACTAGTACAATGTATATTGATTTTTATAGGATTTTTTCTACTGTAACTAGGCTTTGTCCTTCATAATGACATAAACAAACACAATTGAATTACGCATTCAAAACCAATTTACTATTTTCCTTGTTGAACATTTTAAATGGTCAGTGAACATCTGCCTTACTGTTGAGAGCAAAGGTATGTCTCAAGTTTGATTGCAACAATATAGGTTCTACTATATTTACCCATTTTGAGAATCTTCTTTGAGATGTAACATTGTGATCCTGTGATCCATTGACATTAAAAGATATGAATGAATTGAGATGTTGAATATATGTCAGTTATGTCTAAGACATGCAACCCAAGGATACAATAAAAACAAAAGAAATTTAGCTCATTTCATTACTTTCTTTTTTGGTTGGGAAGCATAATTGATGACAGCTGCATAGTTGACTTTTATTTCACTTACTGCTTTCTTGCTTTCCCACAATTGTTGGACTTGATTTATGGATCCCACCTGGTTGATCCAAATGTCATCTTATTGGATGATTTATGATCTGATAACTTTTAAATAACTGCCAAAATATACCTGAAATGATAAAAAAAAATATAACACTGGCCTCAAATAAGAAGTTATCAACGATACTTTTAATATTTAGTATTGGCACGTACTGTTCTGAAAAAAAAACTTGTTTCCAGCAAGGAGTAAGTCTCCTGAATATTAAATTATTGACTTCAAACCAGGGACATAATAATTCAGACTTGAGGTCTTCAGAACGTTGTTGTATTTGATTTTGCTACGTCCCTTCTACAAAAGTCCTTGAATGATGACAGGGTGCATTATCATCTTGAAATTAATATGGTTCATTCCTAAAATGTTTGGTTACCACTTCTCAAAAATTATTGTCTTTTTATCATATTACATTCATTGTCAAATCATTGTCAATTTAACCACTCCTTAATATGTGTGACATACCAGACAATTATGTGAAGATTGGTTGATGGTTGTAGTGCAACAATGCCTAAATATTCTGTTCACTAAATTTCCTTAGACTTCCTGAAATTTTTAAGTTTTCCATCCTGTTTAAAAAAAGTCAAAATCATCGATCTGTATTGGTCATATCATATGTAAATATAACTTTTTTCCACTGATTGTAAACACTCCAGTGAAGTTTAACTTTGCACCAAACAACTTTTTTTTTTTATTCATCTGCCTTATGCCAATTTACTATGGTACAGATCCTCTGGAGTATCCTTATGCATGCAATTTTTAATGAACAGGTCATGTGGATACCTTTGCAGATGTAAGAGAGTTAAATCATGGTTAATTTTCTGCAAAATAAAGCCCCAAGATATTTTAACAATCTTTGAATTAGATGGATTTGACTATTTTTTAGGTCCTTTTTGGTCGTATAGCTCTTCAACTGTTCCGGTTCTTATTCATCCTTGGCTTTCAAATATTTGGCATTGAGCGTTCCTGATGAAGGTAAATCCAGAAAAGCGCTTCGGACGCATGAAATTTATATCATGTTGTTTTCATTTTTGGAAAGCATTTTTCCAGCCTGTTTTATTATAGTTTTTCTCCATCCATTTGGAGGCACATTTTCATATTCGGCTTTGAGCGTTCCTTATGAAGGTAAATCAAGAAAAGGGCTTCGGACGCTTGAAATTTATAAAGTGTTGTTTTAATTTTTTTCTAAGTATTACCATGTATCAGTGTGGTAACAAATAGTCAAAAAGTCATGTACATTTTGACTGTAATCTTCCAACATAATACATGGCTAGAACTGGTCTTAAATTAAGCATACATATGTCTACTTCATTTTCCACCCTGTTGTTAGAAGTTAGGAGTTGTCTTTTCATTGTTATAAATCTTTGTACCAAGTTAATGGTAATCATGTTGATAGCTGGGTCGTTGACTCTTTGTTTGTCCCTGTAGTTTGAACTTTAAATTTTTATGCCCCCGCCGTAGCCGTGGGGGCATTAAGTTTTACTCTTGTCCGTCTGTATGTACGTCCGTACGTCCCAAAATTGGTTTCCGTTCTCTAACTTGAGTTTGCCTCAACCAAATGTTATGAAACTTATACACAATGCTTATTACCACAAAACACAGATCAAGTTTGAATTTTGGTCTAGTCACTTTAACCGTTCTAGAGTTATGCCCCTTTATAAATGGAAAAATTGCAAAATTTTTAGTTTCCGTTCTCTAACTTTAGTTTGCCTCAACTAAATTGTATGAAACTTATACACAATGCTTATTACCACAAAATACAGATCAAGATTGAATTTTGGTGGTGTCACTTTTACCGTTCTAGAGTTATGCCCCTTATTAAAAGGAAAAATTGCTGAATTTTTCGTTTCCGTTCTCTAACTTAAGTTTGCCTCAACCAAATGTTATGAAACTTATTACTACAAAACTCAGATCATTAACAAATTTACGTAGCATCACTTTTACCGTTCTTCAGTTATGTCTCTTTATAACTTAATTTGATATGCAAGCGGGGGCATTATCTGTGTCCCATGGACACATTCCCCATTTATTTTAGTTCATTTTTGTTTCGGAGTTTAGTGTGATGTCCATTTTCACTGAACTAGTACACTTTTACGTTTAGGGGCCAGCTGAAGCCCGCCTTGGGGTGCCGGATTTTCTCGCTGTGTTGAAGACCCATTGGTGGCCTTGGGCTGTTTTCTGCTCTTTGGTCGGGTTGTTGTCTCTTTGACACATTCCCCATTTCCATTCTAAATTTTATGATAAACATGTTATGTGCAACTTATTTGCAAACTGTTCATACTAATTATACCATATATTTCAATTAATTTGACTTTTTACTTCTCAAAGCTTTAACACTGAAATTATCATCAAAATTTTGTTTTGATACAGGTCTGTTATAAAATTTTCTGAACGTTGAATCACTTGACCATCCTGCAGCTTTTGATATTGTATCAATAGAAGTATCACACCAAAATGCTGCTGATGTACTAGCTGATCTAGTACTATGTGGTTTGTAAATTGTAATATCTATACCAGCCAACTGCAAAACAGTTTTTACCCAATGTCTAATAGTGGCTTTAGACACATGTTGATATGGTTTGACACAGCTCAAAATTAAGTTTTTAGTTTTTCCTATAGAAGATGTTCTAAATAGATATTCCTTAAGTACAGTAACTATATACAGTTTATCACCATCAATAAAAGCTGGCAACTCTATCGGTTGTAAATTTGACCCAGGCTTTGAACATTTCAATAAAGTTCTCACATCTATAGACATGCTACTATCTGTAACACTTATATCATCTAAATCTAACTATGAATTGTTTGTAACCTTTGACATGTTAATAACAGCAATAATTGTTACTTAACTTATACGATAAAACACGTAATGTCAACATGCGAACTGGTGCTAATGTCATAAGATATTTTAACACTGCATTAACATCCTAAGTCTTTTGATACCTAGGTAATGATGGTTTTAAATTAAATTTGCCTTTAAGAAACCGCTTCACTAATGGCCATTGACCAACTGTTTTCTCTCTATTCACTGACAAAAAAAGAAGACAACATACTTCTTGCAGTGTTAATATCACTGTAACCTAAACCTTGTTTATAAAGTAATGTTAAAAATTCTAAAACATTTAACTCTGTGGCTTTAAATGTATCCATTTTCCTTTCACTGCAAAATGCCAACCATCTTTTGCAATATGTCCAATATTGTTGTTTTGTAGCTGGATTCCAAGATGATGCAATGATTTCGGAAGCTTCTTTTGATAGTCCATAACTTTGCAACAGTTCTCTGATATCATGAAAACTGCTAATTTTAATTTCACTATGTGATGTTCTATTGTCGGACTTTGAGGTTGATAAAGAAGATTTTTCTATCTGTTTATCATAAACGAATCTGCCACAATCCGGTGTAGTAGTTGTGGAAACCAGTTCTGAATGTTCCATAATGGTGCAACTAATGTCAAGTCGGCTTTGTCCTTGTCCATTTTTTGCAATATTTTCCCAATCAGACTGAAAGGAGAAAACGATAGCAATTAATGTTACTCCATTTAACTGAAAATGCATCTACTGCTTCTGCATAACCATCAGGCAAATATGAAAAATAACATGGTACCTGATGATTACATTTGGGTGCAAACAAATCAACGTCATGTGGCCCAAATAAACTATCAATAATATGGAAAACATTTTCATTCAATTTCCACTCAATGTCTATATTTATTGACCTTGATAGGCGATCTGCCTCGATATTTGCAACTCTAGGCAAATAACAAGAAGAGACCCAAATTTCTTTTTTAATACACCAAATCCACAATTCCTGGTGTATTAAAAAACTGTTTTAGAATTAGCCATATCATTGTAAGAACCTATAAGTACACTCACGGATCTGTGATACTGTGAATTTAAGTAAAGATTTAAAGATTTTTTTGCCGCTATTGTGAAAAAGATTAAGGGGGAAATTTGATTTCAAAGTCAGATCTAAATTTTATATACACAGCTAGGTACATGTTGGATTAGGAATGAAATATGAAGACATATATTCACGGTAGGGCGTCTGTTTGACATTTTATTGGACTGCAAACATTTATTGAATTCATTATCCAGCGTTCAGACAGTGCCTTGCACTTTCTCTTTCAGTTGTCCCATTCGATGTCAACTGTTAAATATATCATCAGCCTAATTTATGCAAATATTTGACAATGAACATAAGAAAACAAATGTAAGTGATTTCTAACAGTCTACAAGGGGATTAACTTCTATACTATTTATTCGCCAGCCATCAGATCTTGGGGTCATCAGAAGTAGTAGTACGTCAGTGCTTTGATTACCTATTATCTTAAAATCTATAAAAGATGGAGTGAAACTTTAAATAGCCAAAATGATCAGCAAAACAAGATCTTCAATAAGTCAACATAACCCGAAATCATCAGATGACTAGAATTATTTCCCTTTAATAACGATACTTTTAAATGCAAAATGATTATTAACACAAGATCTACATACAAGTCTCTAGCTGAAAATCGGCAGTTGACTCCTTATTAGAGTTCTGCACTTGAATGTCTATTTTTACCGATTTTGTTGTTGTGTTTTTACCTTTACTCTTAAATAAAATTGAGAATGGAAATGGGGAATGTGTCAAAGAGACAACAACCCGACCATAGAACAGACAACAGCAGAAGGTCACCAACAGATCTTCAATGCAGCGAGAAATTCCCGGACCCGGAGGCGTCCTTCAGCTGGCCCCTAAACAAATATATATACTAGTTCAGTGATAATGAACGCCATACTAAACTCCAAATTGTACACAAGAAACTAAAATAAAAATAATACAAGACTAACAAAGGCTAGAGGCTCCTGACTTGGGACAGGCGCAAAAATGCGGCGGGGTTAAACATGTTTATGAGATCTCAACCCTCCCCCTATACCGCTAGCCAATGTAGAAAAGTAAACGCATAACAATACGCACATTAAAATTCAGTTCAAGAGAAGTCCGAGTCTGATGTCAGAAGATGTAACCAAAGAAAATAAACAAAATGACAATAATACATAAATAACAACAGACTACTAGCAGTTAACTGACATGCCAGCTCCAGACTTCAATTAAACTGATTGAAAAATTATGTCTTTATCATATGAATATCAGGCACAATCCTTCCCGTTAGGGGTTTAGTATCATACCATCATAACATATATGAGAAGAACTTAACCCGTGTCATGCCAACAACTGGTTTTTAAATAAATGTGTTTAGTGCCGATGCAAAGACCCTATAAGTGAATCAATATTAACGCCAAAATATGCAATCTTTAATGACCTGACAACAGTATCGTAACTATATCCCTTCTTAATAAGTCTATTTAAAGGTTTTGTTAGCTTCAGAGGTGAATACTGACATTTTTGTGCTTTATAAAGAATATTTCCATAAAAAATTGGATGTGAAATACCTGAACGTATAAGAAGTCTGCATGTTGAGCTATATTTACGAATGATGTCCTTATACCGATGATAAAATTTAGTAAATGTTTTGACTAGTTTGTGATATCGAAAACCCTGGTGTAATAATTTTTCAGTAATACATAAATTTCTCTCGTTAAAATCTAAAACATTGTTACATACACGAGCGAATCGTACAAGTTGAGATAAAGAAAAAGACTATAATACATAGATAGAAACTTCAAATACCAAAAATGATCAGCAGGACAAAATCTACAAATAAGCCTTATAACTGAAATTGTCAACAGACCACTTATTTGGAGTTATTGCCCTTTAATAACGATTTTGTTTTCCCTTTTTTTTGCGTTTTTGGCTAATATCCTCAAAAACTATAATAGATAGATAGACACTTTAAATATCAAAACTTATCAGCAAGACAAGATCTACAATTAAGTTTAATGGTGGAAATTGTAAGTCGATTTCTTATTAGAGTTATTGCCTTTTTATTACAATTTTTACTATTTTTTTGTGTTATGCCTATTGTTGAGGATGCCCATAGACCTATGTCAGCGACACATATAACGTTCATATTCATACAATATACTTACAATAGTGGAATAAATGTAGTCAATTGTTTTTGTTTTTATTAACCAAAACCCTTTAAATCATAGTCAGGTGGTAATGTAAAGGGATTGTTAACAGTTAAAGCCTGAATACTGAAAAATAAATATAAAAAAAAACCATTCAGAGTATAGAAAGGCATTGTAGCCAAAAACCAAATTTCAGGCAGACCAGAAATAATACAGCCCCTGAATGAAAGGGTTAATGTTAATGAACTCAAGCTTCAATTGGGCCTGAAGATCTATGGAAAGCCAGTAAACACTGGTGTAGAGTAAATGTTTTGAACTAAGGCCTATGTTCTTCTCTCCTTTTCCTAATGTAAACAATACACAAAATATACTGAACCTCTGTATATTTATATATAATGTTTTCAACAATTTTCAAGATTTGATAAAACTGCAAGTTAAACAGAGAGAGAAAGAAATTTGGATAACAGGTGTAACAGTGAAAAGAGAAAGAGGAAAAACAACAGATGAAATGACAAGTCTGGCAATGAATAAATTGAAAGGTAAATCTGAAGATTATGCGGTAAAACTTTATGCATCAGATCTGATATAGTAATTTTGCTTTTTTACAAGTAATACAAATCATTTCATGCAATAGAATTATTGTATAGGACATTAACAATACATTTAATAATGTAAACATTTTTTTTCGTTGTATATTGTCTTTTTTTATTTAGCTTATTGGCCCTATTTGTCTATTGACATGAGTGTTCATTGTCGTAGTAACTTTTTTTTAAATCTCTCCTGAAACCGTTAGACCTATTTCAAACAAACTTTTCGTAGAATATATAGTATAAAGTTAGTGTGAACTTTACACAAAGTGCAATTGAATCCCTGTAATCACTGATTGGTAAGCTATATTTTAACCATCTTTTTTAGTGCACACAACATGGTGCATATAGGGGAATATTCTGTAGATCCCGTGTTTGGTCATAAAGGTAAAGGAAGTTCATTAATGATGTGTGCTCAAATATTCAATTTACATATTAATGTGTAGGTGTACTAAATACCATACTTGTTACGAACAACAATTTATTAAAAATTACGTTTGTTCAATAAAATACACAAAGCAATTCCTTATTACTTTATGTATTTTATTGAATAATAAATGGCATGAGAGATTCCACAAGTGAAAGGGAGTTTGCCACTACCAAAAGATCAAGTGACACCAAAAGGGTCAATTCTTAAATATATTACTTCTTACTAGACACACACTGAAATGTCTTGACTGCTTTACTTAAAGTGATTGAATTATGTTGAAAGACTGTAATATAAAGGTTTTTTCTACAAGTATCACATAAATTTAACATTATCAATGATCCATGAAAATGAGGTAAAGGACAGATGAACCCTGCCAGACAGACATGAACACCTTACAATCATACATATACAAAAAATCGTATTACTTATAGTATATGAAAAACAGGGCTACTTATGAAAATTCAACATTGAGGGCAAAGTGGACTTTAATTTTTCAAACTAACAAAAGAACATCTATACCACTTCTGCAGACCTAAGAAATTCAAAATTTTGATATACCAACATTTAGAAAAACACAAACACAATATTAAAATAATATTATTTCTACCGTCCAGAAACAACCAGGGCAATCACATAAACAATTTGAAGATTCCGTAAAATTGACAAACTGTCTTGGATTTAATGGCTACAGACATGTGTCCACTAGGTCTAAATGACTAGGGAACATATCTAAAAATTCCTCTATTGATATCATAACTATTGTTGATAAAAGACAACGTAATCATAGATCTCATGGCAATCGTACTAACCGCAATCAACGAAATAAACATTTACACTTGATGATCTTTTATCTATATTTAAAAGCAATGGTAGACATCATTATTATGTTATAACATTAACTGTACAATTTTTTCTGCACCAGATGCGCATTTCGACAAAAAGAGTCTCTTCAGTGATGGTCATGGCCAAAATATTTGAAAATCCAAATATTTAAAACAAAAAAACAAAAACAAAAACACATCAAAGATGTCAGGATTGAATTATTTTACGCCAGACGCACATTTCGTCTATAAAAGACTCATCGGTGACGCTCGAATATAAAAAGTCAAAAAGGCCAAATAAAGTACAAAGTTGAAGAGCTTATGAACAGGACAAAAAGTGTAGCCAAAGTCATACACGGAATCAGAGATTTACATGAGGAAAATATATTCCCTAATTCAAAATATTTTCCAAAATTTTTTTAACTGCATAATTTAACAACACAATATACGTATTTAAGTACAGTCTACTGGGCTATTGATACCCCTGGAACTAACAACAGTCCACCAGCAGTGATATCAAGGTCAAAAACCAATCACATAATATTTATAGCCAGTGTGGTACAATGTCGTTTTTTAGTCCTTAATTTGAGTGTAGATGTATATTAACAGCATTTTGTCAACATAGACTGTTCCATTGTATTGTTCAAAACTTTATGCCTCCATATTTTGATAACACAGAGCCACCTATCAATTCTTATAAGTATAATAAATCCAGTAGAAGTTTAATTTTTGTCTCGCCTGGGACGAAAGTTGCGGAAAGCGAGACATAGGGATTGCTTTTCTGGCGACGGCGACGACGGCATCAACATTTGTTATTAAAGTTTTCTGCTAAAGTTAGTTTGATAAGAACTACTTGTGATAGATCAATGATATTTTGTATGAAGCTGCATTACTATCCGTACATATCAGTTTGACGAGCATGTATTATATGTCTCTGCAAAAACGATGTTGTTTGGTGCTTTATCTGCAGGGACAACAACATATTGGTCATGGAGGTAGGATATGTGTTTTGCAACATTTCGGTCTTTAAAGATTGATATAGCATGGGTCTGACAAAAATGTCACTTGATTCATATTTTGATAAATTTCTGATTACATTTGGAAAATAATTTAGAAATAAATAAACGGGTAAGTAATACCCCCATTTCTAGGATCAAAAACAAATTTCAAGTACTAGTACTCACAAATCGTTTTGTGTTTGTAATGACAAGCAAAGCAGTCAACAATGTGGTGGTGGTATGATGTAAATACTACACGGAATTCAATAGAAAGAAATTATGCATTCATCTACATTCAAGACCGTCCGCTCCAAAGAGAGTCAAATAGTAAAAACACATGTCGCTACCACAGCACAGCGTAAGGCCTCCTCTGAAAACTGAAAGTCCTTACTATGTATTGGCTTCTAAGCTACACAAGAACCTGTTCAAATTTCGTTTCATCTCGGCTTCTAGTAAGTGTTCTACTACTAATCTTTCTGTGCAGTTAACTTACTTCTATTCAAAAACTTGTTATTGATTTTTGTAATAAAGCATATGAAAGTAACAGATTTAACTATTTTTGGAGTGTCTAAAACTCTTTGGGTGTTTTGGATAAATTATGTGCTTTTGATGGTTCATTCAATTCAGTTGACAGTTATAATTTTTCCACTCTACACTACACTATCACACAATCTTATCAAACACAAGTTCTCTTATTTAGTTTAATGGTCCTTTGACAAATCTGGTTGCAGATTTATTTGCTGCAACTCATATAAACCCTTCTTTTGTAATAAAAAAAACTGGAACTGTGATGAGATGAGATGATTTAAACTTTTAAGTTTTCTCATTGACTACATCTATGAACGTTTATCGACAGGTTGTAGGTATTTCTATGTGCACCAATTGTGCCCCTTTAATAGTAGACTTGTTCCTTTTATTGTTATGAATCACAGTTTATGACCAAACTCAGATAAAATCCTTCCAAATTACATTTAATTAACAAATCTAAAAACACTTACTGTTCCTTGATGATATTTTTGCTATAGATAATGAAGCATTATCTAATTTTCTAATATTACTGCGGAACTTGACCCAAAGGAACTTACTTTTAAAAAATCTAATACAGATAGCAATAGTTGTCCTTTTCTAGATTTGGATATTTCAGTTTTACACGGGAAACTCTATCATTATTTTTCCCTCTTTGGACGGTGATGTTCCTTTGGTGTGTATCACCGTTTCCATTCTCTATTATATTCCTCAACCTAATGCTATATATTGTAATGTTTCTCAGACCTAAGTTATTTCGTGGTTACTGTTTTTCACTGGGGTCCACTCTATATCATAACGTTATATGGTATTTCTGTTTGATAATATTTTGTTTGAAGCTTTATATTTCATATGACAAGAGCTATGGTAACCATCCTTTTACTTTTGGTAGAATGCATGTTAGAGCTTCCTGGAAACTGGAGCTTAAGTGACCTATGTATGATACATCTGTACATTAGTGATATGAATGATTTCGGAGCAATTAATGATGTATACAAGAAATATTTTGGATTAAATCCACCTGCCAGGTATGTTGTAAAAGCTTCTAATAAAATTACTTTGTATATATTATATATGACATCTACAAAATATTGTGTTATTTTATAGATTTATCACCGTAATTGTTCATCTGTAGACGACAAGTAATTTTTAACAAAATTTTAGTTATGATTAACCAATCCTTTTTAGCTCACCTGACCCAAAGGGTCAAGTGAACTATTCTCATCACTTGGCGTCCATCATTTGTCGTCTGTCAGCTGTTTAGTTTTAGAAAAATCTTCTCTGAAACTACTGGACCAAAAGGAATCAAACTTGACTCCAATCATTGGGGCATTTTTCTTTTTTGCCTATTATCTTGAAACCGTAATAGATGGAGAAATACTTTCAATCGCAAAAATGATCAGGAGGACAAAATCTAAAAAATTAGAAACGATACCTGAAACCATTAGTCCACTCTTTAATGAAGTTATTGCCCTATTTTTACCAGTTTTTTGCATTTTTTCTGTTTCTTGAAAATTATAATAGACAAACAGAAATCTTTTATCGCGAAAATGATCAGCAATACATGAACTACAAATATGTCAATATAGACGAATTCATCAGGTGACTACTTATAGTAGTTATTGAACTTTATTGATTTTTACCTCACCTGACCCAAAGGCTAAGTGAGCTTTTCTCATTACTTGGTGTCCGTCGTCCGTCATCATCATCTATTTACTTTTACAAAAATCTTCACCTCTGAAACTACTGGTCCAAATTTAACCAAACTTGGCCACAATCATAATTTGGGTATCAAGTTTAATAAAATATGTCCAATGACCCAGCTTGTCAACCAAGATTGCCCGACATGGCTAAAAAAAGAACATAGGAGTGAGTTGCAAGTTTTGTCTATTATCTTGAAAACTACTATGAATAGAGAAAATCTTACAGGGGTAGACATTTTGAGAATGTTGACATCTACCTGCTGTCCATGTATGCCAAAACTTCCTTTAGAATTTATAGCCCTTAAATGTCAATTTTTAGCTCTTTTTTTTTTCATTTTTATACGACCCCAAAATTTTTGCGTTCTATTATGCTATGTCGATGTCTGTGTCGTCGTCAGAAGACATTTTGGTTTGCAGACAATAACTTGAGTATAAGTGTATGGATCTGTATGAAATTTTAACACAACGTTCCATACCACTGTAGGAAGGTTGGGATTGATTTTGGGGGGTTATTGTCATAGCTGTTTAGTAATTAAGGGCCAATAAGAAGCATTTTTCTTGTCGTCCGAAGACCTTTTGGTTCGCAGAGAATAACTTGAGTATAAGTGTATGCATCTCTATGAAATTTTAGCACAAGGTTCCATACCACAATAGGAAGGTTGGGATTGATTTTAAGGGTTATTGTTGTAGCTGTTTAGTTATTAAGGGCCAAAAAGGGGTCACAAACAAGCATTTTACTAGTTCGCAGACAATCACTTAATTATATGTGTATGGATCTCTATGAAATTTTAGCACAAGGTTCCATACAGGGTTATTGTCGTAGCTGGGTAGTAATTAGGGGCCAAAAACAAGCATTGTTCTTATTTCAGGACAATAACTTGTGTATAAGTGTATGGATCTCTATGAAATTTTACCACACGGTTCCATGCCTCTAAGTGAAGGTTGGTATTGACTTTGGGGGTTATGGCCCAAATCGTTTAGGAATTAGGGGCGGAAAAGGGGCAAAAAAACTAGGATTTTCTGGTTTCTGGATTTCATTTCCACTGTATCATTTATTCCTAAAATTGCTAAATTACCAATATTAATTTCTAAGTGGTAACAGCTGAACAATGTCAAGAAAAATTCGTAAGGGTTCCGCGGAACCTAGTGTCTCGCCTATATTTTCTGTTAATTGCAGGCTCAACAAAAATGAGGAAGTAAATCAATAAAAATATTCCACTTGATACTATCTTTTGATTGTAAGAAGCTTCTGTCCAAGTTTGGTAAAAATCAAGGATAGTTTATGAATCTAATAAATGTTTAAAAACTTTAACTGCAGACTGAATGTAATGTTAACTGGGAGAAAACAAAATTTCCTTCTAGATACTAGCTTTTGATCATAAACAAGCTTCCGTCCAAGTTTGGTACAAATCCAAAATAGTATAAGAAAGTTATTAAAATTTTAAAAACTTTAACCACAGAGTGAATGTGTTGTTTCTTTGCAGAAAATCTATGTCCATTTAAAAGTAAAATAAGGAAAAAATGGATTTATTTTTTTACAAAATTTCCTTCTAGATACTAGCTTTTGATCATAAACAAGCTTCTGTCCAAGTTTGGTACAAATCCAAAATAGTATAAGAAAGTTATTAAAATTTTAAAAACTTTAACCACAGAGTGAATGTGTTGTTTCCTGGCAGAAAATCTAAGTCCATTTAAAAGTAAAATAAGGAAAAAATGGATTTATTTTTTTACAAAATTTACTTCTGGATACTATCTTATGATCATAAACAAGCTTCTGTCCAAGTTTGGTACAAACCCAGGATAGTTTAAGAAAGTTATTAAAATTTTAAAAACTTTAACCACAGAGTGAATGTAATATTTCCTGGCAGAAAAACTAAGTCCATTTATAAGTAAAATACGGAAAAAATGGAATTTTATTTTTACAAAATTTACTTCTGGATACTATCTTGTGATCATAAACAAGCTTCTGTCCAAGTTTGGTAGAAATCCAGGATAGTTTAAGAAAGTTATTTAAATTTCAAAAACTTTAACCACAGAGTGAATATTTGTGGACGCCGCCGACGCCGCCGACGCCGACGGAATGTAGGATCGCTATGTCTCGCTTTTTCGACTAAAGTCGAAGGCTCGACAAAAATGAATATCCTCTCCTTTCCTATCACCCAAAGTCACAATATGTTTAAAAACTTCAATCATTACCAGATGACAAATAAACCTCAACAAACATACACATCCATCTGTGCCCAACTTGTAGCAATATTCAAACACCAAACAATTATTTATTAATTTAATAAAAGGTTTCTCACCAATTCATCTTAAACTGAATTCCTTTATGGAGCATTTAAAAACTAAGTAATATCGTCCATTAAAAAATAAAAATAAATTAAATTCTTGGTGAACTTGGATATGCCGTGTCAAATATTTACTCACAATCCAAGTTCAGAACTGTATCAAACTTGATCGTAGTGTCTATACATGCCCCAACTGTACAGGGCTCGACCTCTGCGGTCGTATCAAGCTGCACCCCACTGGACATTATATTGCCTTATATATTAAAAACTATAAAAGATAGAAAGAAACTTTAGTAGCCAAAACGACTTACAAGTCAAAATCTACAAATAAGTCAGAATGACCGAAATCGTCAGTTGACTCTTTATTGAAGTAGTTGCCTTTTTAATGACGGTTTTTCACAATTTTTGCATTTTTGCTTCTTATTTTGAAAACTATAATAGACAGATAAAAACCTTATAAAGCAAAATGATCAGCAAGACAAGATTTACTAATACGCCATCATTAGTCCACTTGTTATTGGAGTTATTTACCTTTTTAAGATGTTATAACCATTTTTTGGAGTCTTTGCCTAATATCTCGAAAAGCATCATAGATACAAATGTAGATAGAAACTTTAAAAAGCAAAAATGATCAGCAGGACAAGATCTGCAAATATGTCAACATGACGGAAATTGTCAGTTAACTCTTTATAGAGTTATTGTCCTTTCATGATGATTTTTACAAAAAAACTATGTATTGTTGAAGATGCAGGTGAACAACACAGGCTCTTTATAGTTTACTTATTTTCCGCTCAACTGGCCTTAAAGACCATGTAAGCTTTTGCCATCACTTGGTGTCAATCGTCCCTGTGTTTTCGTAAACTTTTTAAAATATCTTTCCACTCTGAAACTACTGGATAAAATGTTTTTTTTAGAAAAAATCTGACTATAGGTATTTTTACGGTAAATGCCCTTGAAATGCCATTTTTAAGCTAACTTCACATTTTTAGCTTACCAGTAGCTTTTCTGATCACTTTGTATATCTCTCGTCATTGGCTTTGTTCGTTTATTTTTTACAAAAAACCTTCTTCTCTGAAACTACAGGGCCAAACTTATAAACAAACTTGGCCACAATCATCATTTGGATATCTAGTTAACAAAAAGTGTCCCATGACCCAGCCTGCTAATCAACATGGCTGACATGGCTAAAAATAGAACATAGAGGTAGATCTACCTACTGTACATTTACATCAAAACTGTCAAACAACTTCATATGGGAGTTATTGCCCTTAAATGACGAATTTTACTATTTTTAAAAATGTTTGCTTATTATCTTGAAAATTATAATAGATAAACAGAAACTTTTAAAGCAAGAATGATCAGAAAGATAAGATCTACAAATAGCCAAAATTGTCATTTGACTCTTTGTTGAAGTTATTGTCCTTTAATGTTGATTTTTACCAATTTTTAGCTCACCTTTCCAAAGGAACTGTGAGCTTTTGCCATCACTTGGCGTCCGTCCTCGTCCGTCGTCCGTCGTCGTCGTCCGTCTGGTGTAAACTATTTCAAACATATTCTCCTCTGAAACAACTGAACCAATTCCAACCAAACTTTAGCTGAATGATTCTTAGGGTATCTAGAATAAAGTTTGTGTTTTATTTACTGTTTCGTCAAATAACATGGCCGCCATGGCTAAAAATAGAACATAGGGGTAAAATGCAGTTTTTGGCTTATATCTCAAAAACCAAAGCATTTAGAGCAAATCTGACAGGGGTTAAAGTGTTCATAAGGTGAAGTTCTATCAGCCCTGAAATTTTCAGTTGAATCTGATAACCCATTGTTGGGTTGCTGCCACTAAATTGGTAATTTTAAGGAAATTTTGCAGTTTTTGGTTATTATCTTGAATATTATTAATGATAAAGATAAACTGTGAACAGCAAAAATGTTCAGCAAGGTAAGATCTACAAATCAGTTCATATGATCAAAATTGTCAATTGACCCCTTAAGGAGTTATTGCCCTTTAAGGACAATTTTACACAATTTGTTTATCATGTTTTC